ATGTCCGTGCAGACTACGAGGGCCACACGGCGCTGCACTGGGCGGCGGAGCTGGGCCTATCGGATGCCGTATCGTGGTTGCTGCGCCAACCGGATGTGGATGTCGACATCGAAGCCTACGACAACGCCCACACGCCGCTGCACGCCGCCGCGTCGCACGGCCACCTCCTCATCGTCCAGATGCTCTACCAAAAGGCCGACAAGTCGAAGAATGTCCGCTATGACGGTCAAGCCGATGACGGTGCGGTGCTCTCGCCCGCATTCCTCGCCTTGATGAACGAACACTACGACGTCGCCATGTGGCTGGTCCGGGCCGAAGATAAGAGGCTCGGCAAGGAGTCAGATCCGCAGGCGGTGCGCCAGCTCAAGGAGTCGCTCCTGCACCTGGCCGCCATGCTGGACAGTGTGGATGTGCTGCGCCTGCTCATCGAAGGCGTCCACGGCGCGGATGTCGACGCACGCGACAGCGAGGGCAACACGGCGCTGCACTTAGCCTACCAGGTGGGCAACGACGACGCGGTGGCCTACCTGCGGGACCGGGCCGGGTGTGACGCAGAGGCGGTCAACCACCGTGGCCTTACCCCCGCCCAGCTGACGCCCGGGCACGGCCACGACGAAAGCGAAGGTGACGAGGAAGACGAGCAGAGCGAAAGCGAAGATAACGAAGCCGGAGAGGAAAGCGAAGACGAATGCGAAAGCGAAAGCAAAGACTTGGAGCAAGGCCTCCCCGAAGAAGCCCAGGAGAACGCAGAGCAGGCGGTTCAGGAGGAATGCTACCTGGAGAACCTTCCGCAGGAGATCATTCTTCGGGTACGTCCTAGCCACACGCACACGCACACGCACACGCACACGCACACGCACACGCACACGCACACGCACACGCACACGCACACGCAGCACACGCACACGCAGCACACGCACACGTCTAGTATTGATGGCGGCCGCTCCGGCAGGTTTTGGGTTTCACGTACGGGCGGGACGCCTGTGCGATGCGGCAGACCTCGAGTTTCTTCCAGACGCTGGCGGAGGACAATGTCCTGTGGCGCACCATCTTCCTGCGCACGTTTCCCTTCTGCTTCGAGACGGCCCGCAGCCAAACCAACTGGCGCTCGGCTTTCGCCAATCAAATCGGTACGCGTGCGTGTGTGCGCGTGTGCGATGTATGCGTGTGTCGTGTCGTACAGTTACCAACACTCGATCCCACCCCGTCGTGACGTGCAGCGATGAAGAGGAGGTGCGCCATCTGCAGTCGGGTGGACCAACTGCGCGTGTGCTCGGGGTGCCGCCTGGTCCACTACTGCGGCCCCGAACACCAGGTACGCCGACGCTCGCCCACACCTCGATCGAGGTGGTGCTTTGCGGGGCTGCACCAGTTTGACGAATGATGCACAAATCGCGCGCGATTACAGAACTTGCATTGGCGGGTGAGCCATCGTGGGTCGTGCGAGGGTCCTTTCCGCCTTCTCTCCGGCGTCAAGCGCCTCGTAGCCGAAGAACGATCCAAGGTGCCACCCTTCGCCCCGCATGAAATGGCTAAAGGAGGATGGTCAGCGAGTCATCACACCTCAGACTGACTTTGGCTGGCATCCAGGAACGCGTGCAAAAGGCGCTCAGCATCTTTGGGCTGGTTGAGCTCTCCCTCAAGAACGACGCCCCCACCGCCAACCAGGAGGAATGATGGGGCAAATCACGTTTGGCACAACAAAATGTACATTTTTTTTGTGTTTTTTTTTGTGGTACGGCCGTCACACGCGAAAGTTGTGAGATACGGACCAGGCGGCGGTGGTTGTAAGAGATTGGTTGGTGGCGAGACATGCCCCTAAATGGAATGACACAAACATTTCCATACCAATTTACCAAACTGAAGCCGGGTGTGTGCACGACCTCTCACCAACTGATGGCAACCAAGAAGGCATGGTGTTTAACAGGCGTCTCCGCGAGCTTCCTCAACACGTTTGAATCTGAGTTAAAAACCGAAACACTCAAGCCGGGAGGAACGACCAGCTGGTCGGCTCAACGGTGGAAGCGCCGGATCACGATCAGAGCGGGCTCTGCGGTAGTCACTCATTGGGGGCCGAGGCCGAGGCCAGTGGGCTCGCGGTCGAGGTGGTGCCAGCGCCGAAGCCGCCGAGTGAGGGGAAGCCGCCGCTGGTGGTGGCCGAGGGAGTGGACGGAGTGGGGCCAAAGCGCGAAGAGCTGGTCGAGGCGGCCGGGGCGCTGAAGGCCGAGGTGGTGCCAGCGCTGAAGCCGCCGAGTGAGGGGAAGCCGCCGCTGGTGGCCGAGGGAGTGGACGGGGCGGGGCCAAAGCGCGAAGAGCCTGTCGAGGTGGCCGGGGCGCTGAAGGAGCCGGTCGAGGTGGTGCCAG